ATGACGCAAGCCTTTCGGTTAGTGCTCCACCTATTGCGAAAGGAACGAAGCTCACAAAAATACTCGGATTGATGAAAAGGCAATGTAATATGCTGGGCTCTAGGAGCATTCCAGAATCCGCTTGGGACTCGGACTAACAGCACATTGATGACCCGGTGATTTTATGGTGTTCTCAAAAAATGCAAATGCTGGAATGCATCTATAGATCAATGCTCAAAGAATAAAAACCCAATGCGGAAGCTGTTGAAATTTCGTTTGTTTCGAATTATTACTGTCTGCCATCAAATGAGCAGAAATATATGCATCTTGTAAAAGAGCAACGCTGGAGCAACCTCATGAATTCAATTTTCCGCTTTAGAACGTGCAAATGGGCTGGATCCAGATCTCTCGCTAGGAGTTGTTTGATTACGCTAGCTAATTACAATAGAAAAGTCAGCTCCACACATCCTAAAGTGAGAAGCCTTTTATAAAGAAGCGCTTCGAAGCGTTCTTCGACGAAACACTCGTTGAGAAAGATTTGCACAGGACCATGGTCACTATATGTACTGCGACGCTTTCTTGGTTAACATGTTATCGTTAAAATCTTTGATCTTTGCAGAAGAGTTCAAGCTTGGGGCGTCATCTGCATTGGGTGGCATTGTCGCCAATGTAATAACTTGCACGGTGAAGGGCTTTCTTTTTTTCAGCAAAATCAAACAAAACGTCGAAGTGCTGGGCCTGCGCCAGGAGCTGTTGCCATTATGCCAGGTGTTGCGAAACCAATGCCACCAAGGGAGCCAATTCAGCCTAAAGAGCAGACACCAGTGAGTGACCTTTGATACACCAAATTTCTCAGTTATTAACTATTAGCTTGTAGGCAAGTCCACCTCCGGCACCAGTGTCTGTTCTGCCTCCCATTGGTCATGGAGTTTCTCACACACCTTCGGTCCAGCCGACTAGTTTTAATCCTGCGAGTGGGTTCTCTTTTCTTTTATCAGACTACTGTATTCATTTGATAATCTCTTGTTAAAGTGAAAATTCGTTGTTTTCAGCACTTGCTTGCGAACTTCGTCGACCTCCTTCCAGTGACGAAGAAGAAAACAACGACGCGGATTGGGAAGACGAAGACGCTGGCTCACAGGTTTCCATTATATTTTCTTCTAAACAATAACTGTGCTTTTTCTTAATGCACCTTTTCTTAAATCAGTGTGTTCTAGACAAAAGCTCATGAAAGACCAGCAGCGGTAGCCCCCACTGTTCCTTCCTTTCCTGCTGCTGTTGAGGTAAGCTACCAGTGCATTCTCGTTCTCTGAAAAAATGTTTGTGTGCATATTGTCCAAGTGAGCGTGCCCTGAAAGAAGTATACCAGGTTTGTGAGTACCAACATAAACCCATGGCTCACTTTGAGCTTTGATGTTCATTTTACCCTTATTTTGTTGCTATACATACATGCTTTACTGTTATTGTGAATCTTCTGATACGTTAGTTTATTCAATTGCAGACAAAGTCTCATGCACCCGCTTCGGTGGCAAGCATTCCGCGATATGACGTTGTGCCTGGAGATGACGAAATTGCAGGTGGACCTGCACCACCTGGGCTCGCAGCTCAATATGATGTGCCACGTGGTGATGTGAGTAGCACTTCAAACAATTGTTCCTGCTTTCTTGTGATTACTATATCTTATCTGAACTCCTTATAAAAGGATAAAGGATAAAGCATTTGCCGTTGATCAATCCCTTTTTGGGATGCGGCACGCATTCTACTTCCATTTGTACATTCGCAGTGGCATTTGAATGCGATGTGGCCTATACAATGACTTGCGGGGGCCAGCCGATGTTCAAGTCAGTTTTATCCTCCCAGACAAGTCTGGTACCAATTAACCGACCCCGGAGGGATGGAAGGCTTGGTTGGCCCGGGCGACTCACGACCCAGGATTTGATCCCCGGACCGCTCGCGTGGTAAGCGCGCCACTTGTCACTACACCACTTCCGCCCGAACTATCATAACGTTATTGTAAATCTTCTGATATGATTACTATGTTATTGTAAATCTTGTGATACTTTCACATAGTGGACTGTGATCTCTAGGCAAAAAAAAAGATAGGAACGCAATGAGAATCTAGCCAACTTGAGAACCATAGCAGGAAACATTGTATAAAATTGTGTTGAAGTGAAGTCATGCGTTTCTTTTGCCTCAACATTTTCATAACTCTGTCCCATTCATGGAACACTTCCCTCCTATTCAATTGTGTTCAATTGCAGACAAAGTCTCATGCACCCGCTTCGGTGGCAAGCATTCCGCGATATGACGTTGTGCCTGGAGATGACGAAATTGCAGGTGGACCTGCACCACCTGGGCTCGCAGCTCAATATGATGTGCCACCTGGTGATGTGAGTAGCACTTCAAACAATTGTTCCTGCTTTCTTGTGATTACACATTTGCAGCATGCGCTGTAAATGCTTAAAAACCAGCATAAACAAACGTTTATGCGTTGTCTTGTTTTATTGTTTACGTTTGCAACGAATGTGCAAGGCTCTCTTGTACAGCGTTAAGTGTTATATTAGTGAGAGTTGTTAATTAAATTTTGAATTGTGTGTGTATGTGGGGGGAGGGGGAGGGGGGGGGGGTATGAGCGACGACAAGGAAGCCAAAGAAGTACGCCAATTTCTGCTCTGCGCGCACCTATAACAAGGCGTTCACTTCTTCACGCTCACAGAAAGCAGTCGAAGTTTCAAGAAGTTTCTGTTCCTTCCTGTCTTATATTTTCTCTTGCTTCTGCTACTATCTTCTATTTTTTCAGTGTTCTTACCTTTTTTGAATGCGGTACCTTGATCTCTAAAAAAATACTGTTATTCTCAGCTATGAAATGGACAGCAGTAATTTTCTTTTATAAATAAGTATTAGTTGTCACGTCTGCAAAAGGCAACGTGGAAAAGAACAAGTGAGGCTTACAAAAAAACCCGGTACAACTATAGTTAACATGATGTAATAGTACTGTATAATATATGTGAATTGTCGCAAAATTTAAAAGCAGATAACGTTATTGCTCTTTAGCCTATTTACTTGAAGAGTTCAGAGTCAACCCTGCGTTGCGCAGTTCGCAACGGCACGTTGAGAGATCCTCAACGCACGCTGTATGGGCGGAGACACAGACGGCTCGAGCATGCGAGTGTGAATGTTCGCGCGAGAGAACGTGTCTAATCGGGCGAAACTGCGCAACGTGGCCGTTGAGAACTGCGCAACGCAGGGTTGACTCTGGTTCAGGCCCCATCCGGATCGAGCGCACTGCTTATGGTGGGAGACGTGCTCCCCTCCCGGGGTCAGGTCACCACAGTTGCGCGATCATTGAAGCTTAAGGTTAAGTTTGGGTTTAGACTTAGGTTAAGGCTTATGCTTACACATTGGCT